TCAGATCATCGAAACATTCAGATCATCGAACCGTTCAGATCATCGAACCGTTCAGATCATCGGGGTTCAGCAGCACGTTCTCTTCCTACGACGCCTCGATGTCGAGCTGCGGCGGATCGACTGCTTTGTACCAAATGTTCCCTCGTGCACAGCACAAGTCTGGTTCTGCTTTTTACGTACGAGCTGAAACAGTTTTGTTGGATGAGACGAGACCGGACTGGACGAGCAAACTACAGCAGCAAACTACAACTGAAAACTACAACTGGAAACTACAACTGGAAACTACAACTGCAAACTACAGCTGCAAACTACAGCAGCAAAGGAGGCGCCTTTTCTGGGCAAGAAGCCCCGGACGGTTTGAAAACTTCATCATTTTATGATGAGCAGAGGATCAAAAATGCATTTGTAAGAATTTCAACGGTTATTTTTTCCATAAAGTGATGGGAGTTTATGGGAACATTTAAAAATATTCTGACAAAATAAAAGAATAAAAGTAAAATTTGTTTTTTTCCCAACAAAGTTTTATCTCATCTTTAAAATGCATGACTAGATTTTAATCAAAGACCATTTTCTTCAGGTAAATTTAAACCAGGTAACGAGGCTCGGTGGGATTCACCCGTCTAAATAAAAGTTGAATGAATTTATGAATTTTACGGCTTTTTTAAAACGATATTTAAATTTTGTGTTTATTTCCCTTTAAAATAAAATCCTGAACATTTTTTTGCTAATTTACAAACAAATTTTGAATAATTTAGTTTATTTAACCGATGATAAACTGGACATGAAACTCAGAGATTGTTGTTTTTTCTCAAAATTAAACTCTTTATTTTTCTCAAAGTGTAAGAAACGGTTTCAAAGCTCAGACTTTTCTGAACAGTTCTTTTTGTTCATCTTAAACAGGAAAGAAAAACTGGAATCGACACCCAAAACATTTTTAAACACGTCTTTTTTTATCTGCGGGTCAAAGTCTGTCAGGAGGACAAGTCCTGATCGATCGGGTCGTTTCGGATCGATCGGTTCCGACTCTGCCTCACACTCAAGTAGCTCATGGCAGAAAAACAACAAAGCTGTTAGAAATCAACAAATAATAATAATATTAATAATGACAAACAGAAATATTTGGCCCAGTTAGAATCCGTTAAAGCGTCCCGGTCAGAACCAACACCTCGTTTAAATCACATCAGTCATTTAGAAATAAATAGCTGATTATTCTGATCGGCGTCTTCAAGCAGCCGAAGTTCGGGGTTTTGTTTTTGGTCCGTTCTGGTTCTGGTCCTCGTCCGGCAGCCGCATGTCCTCGATCGATCTGAGCCGGCGTTCCGGTCCGGTCCATCAGGACCAGAGAACCGGACTCATCTGAACACAGAAGAACACGGATCGGATCAATGAGACGACTCGCCTCCGTCTCCTGACGACTTCTATTTAAACTCGTTTTAAAACATTTTAACACTTTTTTATTTTATTATTTCTGATAAAATTCACAAGAACTTTTAATATTTTATGATAAAATGTTCGTTCATTTTTAAAACCTCACTCAGGGAGGATTTAAACTCAACTTAACCCATAAAAACAAATATATTTATTCGTATTTAACCTTTAAATTTGTTATTTTTAGAATATTTAATGTGTTGTTCTTTTGTCATTTATTACATTTTGTTCCCATAAATGTTATAAAAACTTAAACATTTTATACATTATTCGGGTTTACATTTTTATATTAGACTTAAAAAATATATTTGATGATCTGATTTTACAAACACTAACTCTAAATTAATAATATTTGTACATTTTTATTATGTTTCTGTTACAAAACAATATTTTGCAGATTTTATTTTCAAGAAATTCCAAAGAAGTTACTTAATTTAACAAACTTAAGAATAAAAACTCTTCTGCATAAAAAATAAACATCTTTGATTTTATTTACTTGTGTTAAAAAAGCAACAACTGATGTTTATTTTGCTTTAAATGGAATAAATAAAAATGATTCGTGTGATTCTGGTTATTTGCAGATAAATTAACTTGATCAGGTAAATAATAATAATTATAATTTTAAGATATTCAGAGAATCTGAGGGAGGCATTATAAGTTTTTAAGGGTTTAATCTTTAAACGGTTTACGGCCTCAGTCGTCTGAAACGAGCTCAGATTTATGTGTAAAAATATAAAAATTTACAAAAAGGTCCAATAATTTTATCAGAAGTGTTGCTGGCTGTGCAGTTCGTTATATTTCTAATATTCATGGAAGGAATTTAATAAATCTTTTAAAAAGCTAACTTTGATTTGGTGTTTAAAAAGAACAGGAAGTGACAGAAATGTAAAATCTAAGAAACAGGAAGTGAAAGTCCGTCCGGACTCTGTTGATGATGTCATCGACCTCTGACCTGCGCAGGCTGCGGGCTTCGTACAGCGTGTCGTCCTCGTCGCTGTCCACCGCCTCCATCTCCACCGAGTCGTCGTAGTTGGACAGCAGGCCGTACTTCTTCCTCTGAAACGGCTTCTTCAACCTGACAGACACAGCGAAGGGTTAAAAACCCACAATCACCGCTTTGGGAGCCAACCTGATTGAACATGGCCGCCGCAGCTAATCGAACTTAGCAAAAAACTTAGTAGTAGCTGAGCGTCATCCTTAATATACGCTCCGAGTGTCGTTAAATCAAAAACAATCAAATCAATAATTACATCATGTGAGACAGCAGCTAAAGGTTCATTTGTGGTCAGGAGACGACTGACTCGCAGCAGAACGACTCAGAGTTAAACACGAGTTACAACTCGACCCACGAACCAAAAGCACAACCCGGTTCTGTCTGAGGCTGTGGGGCGGGTTTCTTCTGCAGAACACTCCACCGTAACATTTACCTCGAGGTTCTCATCATTTTAACAACTCTGTTCATTTTAGATCATACTAATGTTAGCTAATGTTTTACTCATTTTAGCTACAGTTTTGTTCAATTTAGCTACAGTTTGGCTCATTTTAGCTAATGTTTTACTCATTTTAGATCATACTAATGTTAGCTAATGTTTTACTCATTTTAGCTACAGTTTTGTTCATTTTAGCTACAGTTTGGCTCATTTTAGCTAATGTTTTATTTGTGTTAGCTAATGTTTTGCTCATTTTAGCTAATGTTTTACTCATTTTAGCTACAGTTTGGCTCATTTTAGCTAATGTTTTATTAGTGTTAGCTAATGTTTTGCTCATTTTATCTAATATTTCATAAATTTTAGCTGTTTTTCTTCTTTTGCTGATTTGTTTTTAATTTATTTTTTTTCTTTTGTTGTTTTTAAATCAAACAGAGCTCCAAATTTTCAGCCAAATTTTTTATTTAAATAAGTTTTTTTTTAAACTAATTTGTGGAAAAAGATAACGATCCTGCACAACGTCTTATAGCACGTCTCACAGTCTGTCTCACAGTCTGTCTATCGGTCTGTCTCTCTCTCGGTCTGTC